AGAAGATGGAGGATGAACTCTGACCTTTCAGTTTCATAGATACCGGCCCACTGTGTTCATCCTCACTGCTGCTGACGGTTTAAAACCCGGTTCAGGTAGAGCTGAAACCACTAGCCCGAAAAACCGCCTGAACCAGAACATTCACAACATTTTCACCTTCAGGCGGCTCTCCACACAAGTGGAGCTTCACCTGGAGGGGCGGGGCTTCACCTGGAGGGGCGGGGCTTCACCTGGAGGCTCCGCCCACAGCTGAAGAAAATTCCTGTGGGGCCTTTAATTAATCTGCAATCAGATTTACCAGGAGGATCTTTCAGTTTAATCAAGGCAGAACTCGTCTCTTGCTTCTTCTGCAGGTGAGTTTGTGGAGCAAAAGGTGCAGGAGGTCATTGGTGGAAAGGGAAACGAGGAGCAGCAGAAGCCGCCGCAGCAGAAGCCGCCGCAGCAGCAGAAGCCGCCGCAGCAGCAGCAGCAGCAGCAGCAGCAGCAGAAGAAAGAAGCTGAAGGATGTTTTGGTGTGGATGACGTACTGACAGGTGAGTTGACATCATTTAACAACAAAGAAGTTTATCTGAAACAGGTGAGGAGCCAGAGCAGGTGTTGACACCTGGAGAACACCGCCCCCTGGTGTCCACAGGGCTCCACTGACGCACCTGGAGAAGGAAGAAGACGGAGAATCAGGAGGAAACATAAAAACAAAATAAATATGAAACTTTTCCTCCAGTCAGAATAACTGATGATTCATATCCAGATTTTACAGCTGCTGCTGTTTTAACGGTTAAAGAACTTCCTGATATTTAATCACATTATTATTATCAAAAGATTTAGAAAAAATTATCTTTGAGTTAAACAAGAATCAAAAGTCTGTTGCTGTAAAGAAATTCAGACGTTTTTTAAATTTTCATTAAGTTATTAGTGAAAATGGCCTCAAAGCAACAACATTATTATGGCAATAATTTCTGGGACAATTTGCCATCCAGCAAATTTTATTGTGAAGCCGAAACGTCAGAAGAACAAAATTATATTTTATCATCAATAAGCTGCAGAGCATCAGAGTAACGACCTTCATTAATTTGTTCTTATTACAATAAATCCGGCCGGTTCCAAAAAACGGACCCGGTTCTTACTGGACCTGGTTCTTAGTGGACCTGGTTCTTAGTGGACCCGGTTCTTAGTGGACCCGTTTTCAGGTTTGGTTTTTGTTTGTCCTCAGCTGATGGTGTGAAGAACATCGCCGGCGGACTGTTCAAGTAGGAGCCTGGAGGATGGAGCCTCCATCGCCCGCCTCTGCCTCAGACGTTTCTGAGCTCTCCTTCTCGTTTCATCTTTCTTCCGGTTTTAAACCCAGTAAGCCTCCTAGCGTCTTACTGGGAACTTTAACTGGTTTAATAAATTCTACATATTTGACATTTACTGGTTTGTTGTTTTCTGGAACAAATAAACTGTCAAATTAAATATATTCATGCATAAAACTGATTTCTGATGTTTGGTTATTGCTGTTTGATTTTAGGTTTGGTAAAAACTAAACTGAATAAATAAAGTTTAGTTTCTCAATCTTCAGGTTTTTTTCTCTCCAGACATGAAATAATTTTTCTGGGAAATAAACCAGAAATTCCTGTTTTGGTGAATTAAATCTAAACTTTCTGGGATTAAATGTGGCTGAAGGTGCAGGACGAGTTTATCGTTCAGCTGAAGTGAAGGAAACAGCAGCACTTCATTGAAAATGTTCAAATACAACTATTTATAGATTTGTTCCTCAACAGAACAAAAGCAGTGATTTAATTTTAGAGTTTCCAGTTTAGACAGGAAGTCGTTTCTAGAGCGATTCTAAAAGCCTCACCCCAAACCATTTATATTTTAATATTAATTTTTTACCTGAACTTTAGATTGTGACTCCAGAGAAACAGCAGGAGGTCTGCAGAGGAAACATGATCCACAGGACAGGAAGTTCATCATTCTGGGAAAGTTTGTTGAAGACAACGGGATGAGAACCAGAAACCCAGACAGCAGATCTTCACGCTCTGCCAAACACGGCGGAGGAGGAGTGATGCTGTGGTCACCGTGCAGCTGAGAACACTCAAGATTCAGAACCACAATCCAAACAGAACCACTGCAGAGAGAAATCCAGGTTCTGTGACGTCCTACACTAAGAAATAATCCTGTAAATTTACAGTCAAATACTGGCAGCTACAGACGCCAGTAGCAGTAAATGCACAGTAGCTGTACCGTAATTAATTCTGACATTAGATTACTGTTAAAGTAAGTATAGTTACTGTGAAAGAACGGTAAAATACTGGCGTCTGTAGCTGCCAGTAGTTTACCGTTTTTATTTTTGTTTGAAAGAATGGT